TTTGTAATAATGATCTATACAGCATGTTACAAATGCATAAAACTCATCAGCTTTAAAGTTCATATATTATGTAATATGTCAGAAAAGCATATTTGGTTAAGATACTATCTATCCAAGCTCAGCTAATGGAAAGTTCTCCAACAGTTCTCCACAAACGGCCTATAAGCAAAGGACTTTCCTAAGCACAAGGGAAGTATTTTGCAGCAAAGTTCAGCCCAAAACAGTCAGAATTCCACTTTTTGTAAGATATTTTTCACATTTATAACTTCGTGGTTATGACTTGTTCTTTGTTCCCAGGGGACTACTTAGACATTCACAGTTTGATAAAACTTCTGGATGTTTGTCCTGGTACATGGAAAAGGGGTCTTTGGAGACCCATTAAATAATTAAATGACCAGGGAAGTGAAATTATCCCAGGGAAGTGGCCTATATATTTCCATAGTGTGTCTGACAGAGGACATTTTCTTTTCCTCATAGCATTAAACGCCATTTCCACCCGTTTTTCCTTACCACTTTGCAAGGATGTGGTTTTTCAAAGAATGATTTAATAGTGGATGCACTCCCATCTCAGACGAATCTTTGTCTGCTGAACTACTGTAAATTTAAATCTCTTTAAGTTGCTGTTGAAGAATGTTAGTCGTACTTACATTTTTCTCTCTTGTGTAATAACTACATAGTCTGTTAAAAATATGCATTTTAGACACTTACCACTGGGGATCTTGATTTATTTGTTAATTTGAAGTTATTTGGGTCACAGTAGTGGCTTGTTTGACTTCTGGCATCTGTACAACAGCAGAAGGTCCTTTACGCATGTAGCTGGGATAGCATCTGGGGAAAAGGAACTGAAAAGGATGTGATATAAAGTAGTTGTCTTGATTTATTTCCTTCATGTACCTTGTTAGGATTTGATACATGTCTAGGTCAATGGGATTCTTCCCATTGATTTCCAGTTTGAGTAGGAAGGGGCCCTGTTTACTCCCTGTTCCACTGAACTTAGCTGACTAAATTTGCACCATGCCATGGAGGTGCCTCTGAAAGTCATACTCTCCCTGAAGAATTGTTGCTAACATGAACATTCCCCATGACTCCATCAATACCAATCCATGGTAAGAATTTTTGGGGGTGAAAAAATGTTCTATTGGTTATGGTTTTCTTCATGTGAGGGCTATTTTAGCAGTAAAGGCTAAGAAGGCAAGACTTGCTCAAACAAATTGTTTTCAAGAGTGCTATGAGGATGCAAGTGAGCTTGTATGGCAAACCAGCACCGTTATGGAAAAAGTGTAGAGTCACAAGCAGGTGAAAAGGTTGGAAACTAGCATTTATGCTGCATCACTTTTTAAGACAACCACACACAAATGAGCAAACATGCTTCAGGAACGCAAATTTGTAACTAACACTCAGGAGCTTCACAATCCTTGCCCTCAAATCAAATTTATTTGGGAATATCATCATAGGAAATACAGACAAATACAGCAGAATAAAAACACACAGTTGTAGATTGCCTTGTTGAAAATTAAATAAAAAAATACTGGCTAGATCATAACCCATAACAATATTACATAATATATCTGTCAGATATCTCAAGATAAAAATACAAAATGAAACTCTTGAGGGCTAATCTATAGCTACAGCTCCTCAGTGTGCTCAATGCAGGGGTACATGCCCATAATGCCGTGGGAGAGATGCATATACAAACACCATTTCTTATGGCCCCATGCAGTGTTTTGGTAGCGCAGCCTTACAGGTTTCAGAGAGAAACTATTGTTCAGGGAGAGGCCCTCTCAAGAAGCCGTTCTGCCATCTGAACGCAAATTTCACCCAAGGTCAAAGCCTTAAATAACACGTGTTGGCTATATCAGCCTTCTCCACCAAAGAAAATTTCTCCTCATTCAAACAACACACTAAGCTTTGGGTCATGTCCAGGTAAAATCTTGCTAAGAATAAAGGAAGAAAGAGAGTCAGCTGGCATTAAAGAAAAACTAAGGACTCTTCTTGTGTTTCAGTAACATCTACCACAGTGATTAAAACTGAATACAAATGAGCAGATAGGATTATTTATACACAAACCACATTTCTGTATTAATGAATGAGTTCTGCAGGCACTGAGTGCCTCCTGTGAGATCAGGAGCTCCATCTAGTTTCTGCAGTGGGAGATCTTGGTGCCGGGTATAATAATAACAGGACACTGACAGCCCCATGGGATGCTCTGAGTACTCTGCAGAATCTGTTATAATTTCTGCTTGTATTTCCAGGAGAAAATCCTTGCAGAGTATATAAATCACGATGGGACAGAGACACAGAGGAAAAAAAAAGGTCAAGTTCAACTATGGTAAAAGTCTGAAATTGAAAATAGAATAAAAACATTAAATTCCAATTGCTCCAGACTTTCGGTCTCAATGAACTCTAAATTACAATGTCAAAGAACACTCTGTAACAAACAAATACCTAACTGGCCTAGTTCTCAAAGGTGTCAGCCATCTTTTGTTCTTTTCAGATTTGGTGGGAACTGCAGATGCTCAACACATCTGAAATAAGGTCCCAAGGTCTCAGATCTTAAAAAAGGTTTTCCACTGCCACAGCATATGGCAATTTACAATTAAAAAAATGTCTGATATGACCATTATGTTTCTTTTCTTGTCCTAATGGCAATAAGAAACCATAAGATGGTTTACATTTTATTATAAGGGGGGGGGGGGGGGGGGGGGTGGGGTGGGGGGAAGAGACCAACATTCCCAAAAAGGATGCAAAGGTGCACAGAGTGGTCCAGGCTACTAATGATTTGCTCAAACACTAGCAGAGAATATATAAATTCTTAACTCTTAGCAAAAAATATTGATTGCGTTATAACATATATGATACAATTTCATTTGTTAACATTTCATTCGTTAACTGCACTGTACAGAAATTTGTCCATGCTAAATACAAGCCCTGGACCAGATACACAAAACAATTTAAATGCACTTTTTACATCCTATATGCACAAACATTTCTTAAGTTAAAACTATGCACACTACTTATGCATAGCATGTATATGGCTTACATATTCAATGACAAGAATTCCACCTTTCGGCATGCCCTTATTCCAGGGCTCGGAGCTCACACTGTTCCCAGCTTAATTTCAATTGCTCCGCTGTCAGAAAAGAGGCAGTCAACAGGTATGGACGTGTAAGGGTCCCTCAGTCTAGGGTGATTGTTTTATGTTTCCTTCTTCAATCGGGACAAAGCATGCCCTTGTTGAGGTTGAGCCTGATGCCTGTAGAGCTCTGGTTAGATCCCTGAAGCAGCAGATGAATAGCACATAGGTCTCAATCATCCGTCGGCCTCTGCATAGAGGGGAGTGCCACCGCCCCCACGAGTCCTCTTCAGAGCGGACCATGGCTGATTGTAAAGACTTTTTGGTCAGTGAGGTAATAACCACAGGGTCCGAAAAGGGGAACTGGGAGTGCGGTGACCCGAGCCACCCGAGCGCCAACAATACGAAGGGCAGCGTGGAAGTTTCCTGGCAGGTTCCAGCAGAGGGAAATGAGGTTGGCTGCAGCTGCGTGGGATGCCTGGGCAAGCCAGGAGGGGTCACGTGCAGCTCGAGGGAAGAGGAGATGAAAATGGAGTCTCTTTCTGGGCACAGTTCGGGCTGGAGGGCTCATTCTGAGGCTTCTTGCAGAGGTAACTGCCTGCGTGCTCCGTTTTCACTGCCTCTCAGAGAAAGATGGTCTGGTGTTTTCTTTTAATGAAACAAACACTAGCAAGGATTTGCTGGATCTGTGTTGTCACCTTCGCATTTGAGACAAACTGTGATATAAGGCCTCAGTGTCACCCTCCAGTTCTGTCTGAGAGGCAACACAGTTTTTTGGTGAAGTGAAGCAATTTTCATGTATTCCTGCAGCTGTCTCTTCTGCCCTACAAAACAATAAGCACCAGCTTCATGGTAGGGCTGACACCACTGCTGATGTCTTCCAAAATACTGCAGGACTGAGAATGTTTTAATCTTTAATACTGGATGCTATTTAGTTAATTTTAAAGAGATATTTCAAATACTGATTTGTTAAACACCAGTTCTCTCCGTATGGCAGCCACCACAGTGGGCAAGAATCATCATTCACACAGGCTGGTCAGCATAACTCTAGAACTTCCCTGTACAGTCTACGTATTTTTATTTCCAGATATTTTAAGGAAGCTAACAAGTAGAACTTTAACGTTGCATGCAGCATGGTTGCATGAACAAGTATCCATAATAACGTTTCATTCTGACTTTCCATTTCCATTGGACGCCAGTAGCAGTGACACGTAACAGCAATCCAGTGCAGATGATAAATGCCATGTTTTCACATGTCTCATGGTTAACTGGAAATGTCTGGGGTCAGTGATGCAATATAGCGAGGTCCAACTTTGGCTGAAAAAAGTATTTTGGCTAGTTTAAGAAAGCGGAATACAAGAGGAAATAGCAACAACAAGTACAACTGAAATCTTGCGACTTGTTAAGTGCCTTGAGTTCCCAGCTCAGGGTTTTACATTTTATGCTTTTAACCATTTTGTCCAATCACTCTCCACAGAAACAGGATGAACCAAGAACAAGTTGACAGATAACAGCTTCTGAGAGCACGGGGTAGGAATAGCTAGAGTTCTTCTTTTCTCCTGCAACAGAGGTCAAATGAAAATTCATAAGCAACAGATTTTTAATAATATTATTTCCAGTATTTAATATACTTGAATTGAGGATGGTTTATTGTATGACCATTTAGTCTGACATTAAGGATTCAGAGATGTAAAAGTATTGTTTTTCCCTTCTGTATATTGAATGGCTTTTAAGGGGACATAGGAAGTGGGGTTTACCGTGTGCCCATTTAAAACTTTTGTAATAAAACCACAATGGAATGGAACAAAGAGGATAATAATAGCAGTAAGTGAGTCTTTATGGTATAAAACTCTCCCCATTATAAGAAAGAAATGACAAAATTACCTGTCGTGCCTGAAATGTCAGAAGCTTTTAAGAAATCGCAAATCTAGTTCTGTATCAGTGCTTCTTTCTGCTCAGTGGCTTTTATTATATCTTCTGACTTCTTACAGTGTTTAGGCTCACCTGGAAGATAAACAAATGTGATTGGGAACCTGAGTGAGGAAGTTAACCAAGTTAAGAGAATCTGTGCAACCCTAGACAGACAGGAACTTTTTCTCCCTGACTTTTTTAAGGTTAAAATGAAGTTTCAGGCACTGCTTGCTTTAATTGCTTTCTCACCAGAGTAAGTATAGGATGGAATTAACTAAGCATTATAGTTTACCCATAAGGCAAAAGATAGAATGAAAGCAACAGATCACATAATGAAACAAAAATATGAAGACATTTACATGAGTAAGTGTTAATAAAGTGGGTTTGGGTTTGGTTTATTTTATCTTCCAACTTACTGAAAGTCAAAAATCACCCTCTGCAGCAAAGTGCTGTTTAAATCCTCTTTAATGTAGGCTTTCAAATTGGGAGTAAGCTTCTCTCAGATAATGAAAGATGCCAGTGCCAAGTTCTAAGAATTCAATTAATTCAGTCAGATAGGAGAAATGACACCGAGTGACACAAGCAGTTTTCAAAGTGATACAACATGAATTTCAAACCTCCAATCATAATATTAAGCTGCTGCTTAAACTATTCCTTCAGTAATTTTGAATGAATACAGCTGAGGAAATTATAAACTGAGATAGTAGGCATGGGGAGAATGTAGAAAACTTACAGTGTTATTTACTAACGGTATAGTAACTTCTCATTTTTAACCAGTTGACTGAGTGATCCCACTAATGATTAATAATGCTGAACTGAAAATGTGAAAAAGAAAAAGCACAGAAGCCTCAAAGCAGAGAAGATGAGCTGGGAGAAGCATGAAAGTTATAAAAATAAAAACATAGGCAGGGGAAGATTTTTGAAAGGTAGAAAACAAAGGTACAAGCAGCTGAAAGGGAAAGCAGATGATGTGTGACCTGAAAGGAAAATTGAAAGACGGCGAGTTGAAGTTGAAGAAGAGGCTCTCAGTTCAGAAAAGAGAAAGGGAAGAGAGGAAAGGGAGCGCATGAGAATGAGGAAAGAAGAAAATTAATAGCTATGAATTCACCATGGCATCGCTGTAAACAAGTGAGAATTGCTACTGATTTTACCCATGTCTCATTTCCATGAACGGTGGCAGAGTGAGCACTGCCCAGTCTGTAATGTGGCCACCAGCAGGTGGGCCATATTCTCCCAAGCAGCACTCTTCCCCACCCCCTTATTTTATATAAGTTTAGTGTGGGTGGAATGTAGACAACCAGTTCTCCAAAGAGTTTTAAAGTTTCAAAGTTGGACTAACATGAATTAGAACAAGAATTTCTGTAGATCCTTCAGCCTGCAGTTGTTTTTGGAGGGATTTAGTAAAACTCTTTATTATTATCCATAAAAACAGAAAAGGGGGTAGGGAGGGGTATGAAAGTAAAATCTGTTGATCTACATATTTAAATTTTATACTTGATGTTGAGTGGTTAGTCGAGGTTTAGGAGTGGTTTGTGGAGGACTTAAAACAAAAACTGTGTCTTTAATTTTCATAAAAACTAAATGTTAACTTCTAAACCATACATAACTTTCTTCCTGTCAATGCATCAGCTTTTTTATGTCATAAATTCTGCCCTATGAATGGTTGCTAATGGCTGTTATCTTACAATCCCTATCCTTTTTATAAACACGTTGTTTGCTCTTTTAATATAACATTCCCTCCATCCTCATGCCACGCATGAACACGGATACCTTCCCTTAGTACGAGGATCCCAACCTACTGTTCCTCTGTTGAGCCACACAGCGTGCACAAGGAATGCTAATGAGCCAGGCACCACAGCAACCTGCGCCCGCTTTGCGTATCCATGCAAAGGGTTCCACATGAGGCTGAGCACCACAGGGCCACCGCGGCTCGGAACGGTCACTAGCATTTGCATGGCATGGATGATTCTTTGATGCCACTTGCATTACCATAAATCAAACTGGCATGTTGTTGATGTGGATCTGTCCACTGCTATTTAACCTGCTTATCCTCCAGAGGCTTTCAGTTTCTGACTGCTGATGACGTTGAATGCTTTGTATAACTCGATGTGACTGGGTAGTCCTCTACTGTCATATAGTGAAGTTACTGATAATCTGTTTTATCGCAGATTTATTCTCTCCTTTACATTTTGATATTAAGGATTAATGTGGCTATCATAATGAGTGAAAAGTTAAAAGAGTGCCAATTAGCATTTATAAATCATTGAAACATGGAGTTGTTTAATTAAACATAAGCAGTTTTTAAAATTAATGTTCTAATTAATAAATCACTCAGGAGAAAAGGAAAATCATCACTTAAAAAAAAATCACCTTATAATAGTTCCACTTAACCTTGTAACATTCAATTAAATGAAAGTGAGATGATGGAAAGGACAACAGTATTATGGAGAAAAATGACATTCAGTCACAACTGGAATTCTTCTAATAGCGACCCTCCGGTTCTCCCTTCGCACTGACCAGCACACAGGGCAGAGATACTCCTGTTAATAAAACACGATAATCTACAAGAACTACACCTAGAAAGAGATGTGATACAAGGAGAGGAAAACAGTCCCTTTTTTCTTTTTTTAATGGGGAACCACCTCATCATAGTACATCCAAACATTCAGTGACAGTTCCCAAGAATGCAGATAGATCATCCTCCTCTGTGTTCCCCATCTCTTATAATTCAATCGCTTACTCACAGAAAACCAAACTGAGATTTCTGCTTTTTATAAAGACAGAAAAATGACAGCTAACATCTGAAATTTCAATCTGAGTAACTATGTTGCATTTCTTTTTACTTTCTATTTCATTATCCCAGCCCCAGCGCCCATAGGTGCTTACTTCTCCACCCTGAGAATCAGCCAGCACTCTGGACATCGCTATAGCTTTCTACCCCCCGTCCCCAGTACAGAGGTAGAAAAATCTAGCATGGAGAGTGCTAATAATGTCCTGATAGATGTATAGTGCTGCTTAGAATACTCAAATAACTCTAATATGGGAAGCAGGGAAAAAATGTAAGGTCATGTGTATGCTACCTTCTACTTGCTTGAAGTGACATTCCATTGAAAATATCTGACTTTGGTTAGAGTCCTGTCTGGATCTGCTGGCCATCAACAGAGGTGCAAAAGTGAAAAGTGGGGATGCTACCTGTGCTATATCTCCCTTCTGTGCTGAGTGCTACTGCATCATACACAACACACTCGCTCTTGACCATCTCAAACACTGCTTATATAGAGAAAAAGGAGGGGGGAGTGAGAAGAGAAAACAGCGACTGCTGTGCTATTTGTAGTTATGAGGCTTCTACACACTGCAGCAATGAAAAATCTTGCAGAAACACTAAGTATCTACATTTCGACAACAGTGACAGTTTAATGCAATTCCCTCCATTTAGAATGATATTAAATCATTTCACCACTGTGAGAGAGAAATGTGAAACACTTTAGCCTGAGTTTTCCTTTTCATATTGAATATTACAGACTATTCCAATACTCAATGCCTGTATTGCTTTTCTTTTCAGTTATCTTTAACATGGGGGCACAACCTCTGCAGAGGTACTTAAAGCTGCTGCTGCTGAAACCCAATATTAATTCATTTAATCTCAAAGAGTCAGGACCGAGTCTCACCATGTGTCTGTAGAAAGTCTGCTGCCCCAGCCCCTGCACATTACAGTTACGTAAATACCTGCAGTATACATTTTTAACTGGCAGGCACAGAAAAAGCCCACCATGTATGTCATTTATTTATATCATCTATGACATAGTTGAGAAATTAATATTAGGTCTCTGTGGTTTATTAGAAGCATGAAGTTCTGTGAAAGGGTCAGTGCTGACTTAAAAGATTATAGTATTTAAATAATACATAGAGATTTCTCACTATATAGTAACATGGCTGGTCTGTCCTTAGAAAAGAAAGTTTTAAGAATATGATGCCACAGTCCCTCTGTAAATTATTTCAAAAGACCCTAAAATATTCAAAATACTTCTCTATGACATTTAAATCCTGGGAAAATAGGGAAAATGCAAGAATGAAATGTTATTAAAGTATAAATCCAACTAATTAATGACATAAAATCAGAATGTAAATGATATTGTGACTGACCAATAAACCCCTACAATGGAAGAAGGCTCAATAGAGATGGGCAAGGGGGACGTGCCCATCAAGCTCAGGAGATAAATGGGTTAAAGGGGTGTCTGACCAGAGCTCTTGCAAAGAAAGCTGTATCTCAACACAAAGGGGAGCAGAGGGTGGCCTTTGGTTTAGATAAGCACTTATGTCAGTTGAGTGGATCCACTGACTATATCACAGTTGAGGGGATCAAACAGTGGTGTAGATGTTTCTCCCTGAGTTCGTTAGAAGGGTGTGATTGTCGCCCTGAGTTAGCCAGGCCAGCATAGAGGCCATACATGGCCTAGCCCAATATAGAGTATAAAAACTAAGCAACTAGCCAAAGAATTTTGAAGAGAGCAATGGGCTTGAGCTGGCTTCAACCCGTGTATGCCTTACTGGTGACACCCAGCATCATGTCAGTGAACATATTCTAGAGACTGGTAATGGGACTCACATCGCCATTGTCATTGAGCTGGGTGTTGCAATTGCTCTATTTTGCTAAGTGTAACTTACATTTGTAGTGTGCTTTCAGTATACTGTGTATCACTCTGCTAAATCAGAAATTCCATGTAACATGAACTACCTTCAAATAAGTAAATTTGATATTAAATATTACATCTTTCATGTGTGCAATATCTAAAAGAACCTGGTCAGAGAGTATTGGACTCTGACATTAATATGCTACAGAAACCAGGCAAAATGTTCACCAAACTCCCCATTTACCTGCGTATCTATGCTGGAAAATGAACACAAATAATCACTGAAGGAGATGGGTAAGAGTAAATTCAACATACCGCAGTGAACAGAAGTTTCACATAAAATGACAACTAAAAATGCCTTTTAATATCAGTTGCCTTTAAAAATAACACTTAACCAATATCTTTATTCTACACATAGTAGCACTCTACTAAAAATTTGTGATAGTGTAAATCAGAAATTCAGCTTCATCTTGTGGTTTTCTGACTTGAAGGACTACAAATTACTTATAAGGAGATCCATGAAAGGTTCATGAGACTAAAAGAAATGCAAACTTATTTTCTGTAGGCTTAAGTTGGCTGACCAGGGATGCACATTTCCACTGGAAAAATTTTAAGGATTCACAGGTCTAAATAGGTGAAAAGTCACTATTCTAGAATGCAAGATCCGAAGAATTGGGAACGCATAAATTCTCTGAATTTCCAATGACAACAGCATTTTGACAATATCATTTCCTGTGACCCATGACAACACCAAGAATTGATGACTACATTTGTTTACAAAGTGTATCAGATGAATAGTTTTCAAACTAATTTGAAGACCTGTTCAGAACAGAATCTTACAATGGCTGGACATGAGCTTGATCAATGGAGTGAGCAGTAGCCTCTACTTTTTACACACTCTTGCCAGCAGGGAAAGGCACAGCTTGTAGTAAAGGAGGGTTTGGAGAAAAATACTTTCAGTTCCATTTCACTTCCAAAGAGCTTTATACAGCAGTTTAAGATTTTCAGGCATAGATGTTTAGTTTCAGTAGAGAAACCTGTATTTCTGTACCAAAACTTTCCATGGCAGTCAGCAGCAACTGAGATGTGTGCTGCAAAACCTACAACGGCTCAGATGTAAATTGGGCAATCCCAGTAAGGGAGTATTCACTCATCGCTCAGCCTCTGGAGTTGCCTTAAAAATAATTTGCTGCTTCTCCTACTGTGTGATTAATCACTTGATGGAGTTATGTCTCCTGCTGTATCTCCCCTTTTTCCATTACTTGTTATTAGTCCATGGTTTAAGTACCACTGCCTCTTTACTGATGCAAGAGGTGAGCAATGTCCTCATATGAGCTCTGGCTTTTAGTTCAGAACCTTACCAATACTATTTATTTCCACCAAATAATTAAATCAATCTCTTATTTCTAGTTCATTATTTATCTGAAGTCTTTTTGAATATTGCCATCTCTCGTGAAGGAACATCCTTGGACTGGTGGAATTCATGTTATTAAATCTTTTTTATCATCTTCAAGAAAAAAATAGTTTCCAGATCGTGTTTGTCTTTGGAAATAAACTATTACAAACTCAATCACTTCCTACCTTTTTCATGAATTTTGCAGTTTGAAGTGTTAGAATACAAGGCATTCTGTAGAAAATTCCCTGCCTTAGAAAATGAATGAGATTAGCTTTCTCTAAAATAAGAAATCTCTGTTCTCATAGGAGAGGTGGAATGTAAAGATTGACAAGGCAACAGAGTGTACTAACTGCATGCTAGGTTGTATCTGACCTCTCAAACAGCATTTTTGTTGTTCAGCCATCTAAAGACCCCCAAGGACAGCTACACCACAACTGCCTTCTGCATAGTTTGAAAGATAAAAGATACAGCTTTTCCTACTGTGTTCCTCATCCAGGAGATGGGAAACGTTTCTAAGGTACTTAAATTTCAAGTTGGGCTTTAATACAAAAATTGGTGCAAAAAATACATGTCAAAAGACAAAAATGTCAATTATTAGACAACTTCAAATGCCGTGAAATTAATTTTAGTGTAAATATTTTGATTTAGGACCCTAAATTAACCATCTGTTATTTCTGATGGAAAAAACCTGTCAACAATAAAAGCATGGAGCACTGGAATGTGGAACTCTAGAATAAGTGGGAGTTCTCCATAAAAAGCATTTTTGAGAAATATGCCAAGTCATATACTTATGTCTAAGCTAAGCCTTATAAGCATGTGTGTTGTTGCTCAGACAATGCCATGCTTCTGGCACATTATTGCAAGGCTCGCTGTCATAGAAGCATAAATGACTTTTGCATTTTAATTAGAAGTGAGGAAAAAAGTGTCATTATATGCCTTGATTATTCTTATTACCCTAATACCTCAAAGCTTATTCTAACAATAAGCAAATTCAGAAAATAAAATGAAAATGCACGGTGTCTTTCTCTTACTTTGATAAGATCTATTCCTATTGCTTGGGCATCTTGCCCTCGATACTGTCTTACAGTCACCAGATACTAAATCATAGTCAACTTATGATAAAACACATTCTAAAAAAATATTTTGACATTATAGGGATTTTCTGGCTGCTCTGCTTGTCCTGCAAACTACTGTCAGGAGACTGATGTTTCTGATTAAGAGAATGACACAGTCCCATGCCTACTACAGTTAGCAAATTCCATCTACTTGAAGTTAACTCTAAAATTCACATTACATTTAGTACAAACAATGAGGTATACAAAATAATAATCACATTAGGTGCCTAAACTAAGGGAGGTGCATTTTAATAGCATAAGAATAATTACCTATTTGAAGAGAAGATGTTAGATAGTTCTGTTTTGAAAGTTTACCTCATTCTCCAATAACAAACTGCTATTTTTAATTGCAAATATGCATCTTTAAATTACTTTAAAATCATTCTTCCAGTTCACCTAAAGGTCTTGGTATTTTATGTAAAAAATTTTCTACTAGATACCAAATAGGTAATAGCAAGAAGATGGTATTTGTTTAAATCAAACAGTTTTTATTTGATGGTTTTAGGACACTACTGTTTCTACACATGCCTGAAGAAACTGTCTTACACTGATGGCTTGTACAACGCCTTATTTTGATATTTTACATTACTGTCGATGTTTGACAGGGAGATACCAGACACTGCTGCAGCTTCACCCTGGACAGCTTCATTAGATTGACTGGTGCTCTGAGATGAAGCATTACCATTCAGTGGGTCTGTATTCTGTGTTTCTTGCTGGGTATCGGTGAGATCTTTCTGGTTCGGATCAGAGTTAGTGCATTTTTCTGAGTTGGATTCATCACTCAGAGGAGTGTCGAAAGAGCCTACTTGTAGGACGATGGATCTGGGAGGACAGGTTGTACCATCGCTTCCCTGACTACTCTCATTTTGTCTCCTTGTTGTCTCTTCCTGTAACTGTGCATCTGTGGAATTTCTGCTTTGGTCTTTTTCCTGTTCACCAACATTTTTCACAAGTTCTTCTACAAAGAGGGAACAAAATATGTGAATTAGATAAGAAGGATATGCCATAATTGTTTGATTTCAGAGTAGTGACTGATAGAGCTGCACATGGGAACATTGTGAACATCGACTTTCTGCACGAGGACGTGTGCACTTGTCTGTTTAATATGGGTCAGATTCTGCTCCTGATTACACTACTGCAACTGAACTGTAGTGGCCTGCTTTCTGGTTTGATCTCTAATTTGCACCTCTTTTTTTTGGCCATAGTACAGAGCAAGGAGCATCATCAGACGCACTGTAAGCTGAAGGATGGGAGCAGGAGGACCCCATGCTGCAGGCACGTCCCTCAGCAGTGGTGTTTACCACCACAGGACTTGGAGGAGCAGAGCTCATCAGTTCTGCAACAGAGAAAGGGCATGGAGGGGAGCACCTTGCTGGGGGTGGGGGAGGCGTCAGAACTGAAGGGAAGCCCTGAAGGAAGCTGGCCTGTCAGCCGCGAAAAGTCCAAAATGCCAGCTAATACAGAGCTTCAGCTGGAACAAGTTATAGAGGGTTATGCACATGCAATCCAGTACTGCTGCCATTATAGCTACTGGCACATACAGGATGGGAAGGAAAAAACACAGGGGAAATTGTGCTTCAGGGGACAGCAGCTACAGGAGAAATAATGTTTGTGGAAGGCTCTATTCCTTGCTCTACTGGGGAGACTCGGAGAACAGTACAAATGAAATGACCCAGAGTAAAAGGAGACAGAACAGAGTAGCACAGAGAGGTGGTACCAGGAGGAATTAGAAGATGAAGAAAACAGAGAGTGGAAAACTTGTGATGGAGGGTGAAAAGTCTGATAAAAAATAACTGTACCATCTTCATGGAGGGCCTATTTCTCTTGCTATTAGAATCTCAGTTTTGTAAATTCAGATTTTAGAATCTGTATACTACTATAGAAGATACACAACACTGTCAATTTAAAAAGTGAAAGCATTGCAGTTTGAACACCACCTCCACAAAATAGCTGCATGATGTTGCACAAAATTTCTGACTTGGCTGTACACACTGTGTTAAGGAAGGAAACCAAGCACTGAGGTATTTATTGAGTTCAACTGGCAGCTCCCAGAGACTCTGGTTGTGAGTGACCAGTCCAAATCCAGACCAAAAGTGATTGCATATGACAACTGAAAGATAGCCCAGTCTGTAATCACATTTCTACCACAGTCAGCATTTGGCATCTTCGTTACCTCACTTTTCTGAATCCAAAGAAAGTTCCCCCTCAAGTACAATTTGGCCTGTGAAATGGGATGGAAAGGAACACCTCCAAACCTGAACTGATGTGCAGAAGCATGGAATAGTTAAATAATTTCCTTCTTTTGTCAGTTCTTATACTTCCTGTCATACTTTTAAAAAAATCAAGAACTTTCAAATTTGAGCAATTTCTAAATTGTTAAGCTATTTTTTTTTTTACAAACTTTAGAGACCTGCTTGTTTTGGACTCCAAATGTTCTGAAACTTGGACAGGTACTCTTTTTTTTCTGTAGCCTTCAATGCAGCTCTTACAAAGAAGTGGCTGGGCTAAAGACATTAAGAAATATGTATATGCAACTTGAAGCAAATGTGATGTTCAATCCAGATATGTTAATTAAAGCATCTGTCACTCATGGTATAATCTACCTACCTAAGGCTTTTGTCCCAAGAAACTGCTTTACGTGCCATATTTGCCGCCATATGGCAGACCTACAAGCATTTTTCCTTAACTTTATAAAAAAGCCAAGCAAATTCCAAGATAAAATATTTCAGATGTTGTTCAGATGCATCCGTAAGTTGAGGAAAGCAAAGCTGAACTATAATCGCACATAAAACTGTAATATTAACTTAGCTCACACTACAAAAGGTGGCTTTTTTAACCTGAAAGCTGGTAAGAACAGGCAGTATTTTTCTCACAGAATGGTGTTTTAGGACAATACTGTGGTGGTACATCCCCCCCCCCGCCCTGTTTCTTTTCTGTTCTGTTTTTCCCCTTTACTTAGTCTGCTTTACAATCTCAGGAATTCCAGGCCGCAGCTTTTGTGTAGAGAGTTGGTCAGTTAAGCGCCCCTTAATTGTACCAGATACTCCTACATGGCTGGAGCAGAGAGCGGCTCTGTTCTTATCAACATTCATATTATGGCTAACGAGGGGAACGAGAACAAACAGCTACCCCTGACAGCCTTGAAACAGGGTGGTATCATCACTGCTGGAATTCCAACAACAAGCCGACCCGAATTGTGGCTCAGATGGAAATTTACTGGTGATTAAAGTCAATCATCTCACAATCCTATAAACGGCAGTCCTAAGTGAGGCTCTTTGAGCTCTCCTGGACTGCTGCGGGCCGCAGCAGCATCCCCCTCTGATCGAAATGTCTCTCAGAGTCAGCGAAAACTAGCAGACTCCGAAAGTCTGCTGCTACCAGAACTCCATTGCCGGAGATCGACAACGGAGCCTGGGCTTCTGATATTCTTCACTCCTCGAGACTGTACTCTCGCCCGTTGAGAAATGCCAAGGCATTAGACGTGAGCATTTCACTGAACTCGAGGGGAATTTTTAACCGGTATACTATTTTCATATATGCATTTATAGTTGTAAGTGTGCCTGCATGAATCAATTTAAGTAGTTTTGTAGATGTATGATTTAATTTTAAAAGGAGTTTTATATTGCTGTACTATTCTTATAGCATTACTCTGCTAAACCGTTGACCAAGTCTGAGACTAGGACTAGACCCAGCCGCACCTCGGCTCCTCTCTGAGAAGGAGTTTAGAAAGCAAGGGGGTCCATTCTGAACCTCTCAACGGGAGGGCACCCCCCCCCTTGCCTTTATTCCATATATATGCAATGCTTTTATGAATCATTTTAACTTGTTGTGATTTAATTCTTTTTAATGTGCTTCTATGTAGTAATAGAGTGAACCTTGCCATTTTCGAATCTGTAACTAAGTCACTGTTTTGATCAATTTTGTCTAATCACTTTATTAATCATTGATGATTGAGTGCTATTGAAAATATTATAATTAAATTCTGCAATTTGCTACAAGTAAATTCTAACTGTTACTAAATCAAACAGTGTAAAGTCACTCATTCATAGTGAATTGACATAATCAGCAGTATTCACAGACCTGCATTCGTGACAAATGCTAACCAGAATTCAGATTTGTCTTGGTGTAACTAGGTGGCTGACCACTTTATTCTCGTATAAGATGTCTCAGTATATTCACATAGGCAAAACCCGTTATTGTTTTTAGTTCATAAAGCTGAATATCTAAACTTAAAATTGCTTTCCTTCACTCCCTACCAAACTTAAACTGGCAAATGAAGATTAACAGTTTAATCAGAACAACGCTGATGGTCTGTTCTTAACTTGTCATGCTGGTCTCTTATTTCTATGACTGCCTTTGAGATGATCTCAAGCATATCTCTTTAAGGATGTCTAAAACACAGGCAAACTCTAACTCAGGTCTATGCACATCTGATGGATGTAGCTTTGAAATGGAATATCTCTGCACCAAGTTACACCTGGTAACATACCAGTTAAATGTCATACCTACTGCATTTAAACTGGTGTGATACTATTTATTCCAGAAGTCAGTAGAAAAGAATATATGAGAAAAAGACACTCTTTTCTAAGTATGAAAAATACTGTGGAATTTTAAAATCTGTGGAGTTAAAACTATGGCTAAACATTAGTCTTTTTATGCTGACAATCATATCTGTGATTACCATTCCATGGTGATAAAATTTCAAAGTCACTCTCAGTTAAATAAGCTTGAAGAAAAGTATCATGTCCACTTCAGAGGAGTTTGTGCAGGGAAACCAGGTGGAGTGGCTGGTAGTTGTGACTGAGACTGAGAAGCCTCAAGTACAGAATCCTCTATGATGATATCACAACTTTCATTAAGACCCCCAATCCTTTTTCTTGGTATTAAGTCTCTCATCTGCTGGATGTCTGAGTCTATGTTCTGACTTGCTTTGCCCCATTTAGCTTCAATCCCCATGAAATCCACTGCCAAAAAGATGAAAAATACTAGATTCTTATGGTACATCAGCCACTTGTGGAATATGCTATACGTGCTGGAAAAATACAGATTTCTGCTTTCCATAACCGCTAATAATTGTACTCTATATTATATAGGACCTTTATATTGTATATCATAATTAGCATTTTCTATCATTTCTGCTGTCCTATCACTCTGATGAAACAGAAATATTTAGCAGTCTTTAAAAGAGGCTGAGACTGGGACATTGACTGAATAACTAAAATTCAAGCAAGGCTCTGCTAAGTTAATACTACTAATGTAAGAGAAGCAGAGCTGGCGTCATGTTTGATCCCCAGTGCTGGACAGTAAGAATTGTAGTAAATACTGCAGCAGAGCCTCTGCCTCCATCCAGCCACGAACTGCCAGGACCCTCTGAGAGCAGCAGGCAAGGCTGCTGCCCCTCACCCTGCACTGGGCTGCTGGGAAGAGCAAGTTTCTCCTCCCCTATGGGCACACATTGCCATGGACAGCTGGAGATAGAAATGGGGTACGTTAAATGAACAGTGTAACTTGGCATTTGCAACATTGACAATATTTAATAAGAATCTTATGAATAAGTTTAATAAGATTAAACAACGTTCTTGGCCCTTTAGAAAACGCCTCTCTTTTTTTGGGGAGGTCAGTTAGGCACTGAGCATCTTAAGGTTTATCATATCCATTCAGATAAAGGCAGAAGTGTGTCGTGCAGTGCAGTGAACTCAGGGTATGTGTTATTGTTGCTACTGGTTTTGCTTTCTCTGTTTTAACTTGGTAAAAGTGCCTGGAGCCAGGCCTGTTTACACATTTTCAACGGTTTGGTATTGTTTTCTTTACAAGAACCCAAGTGTTATTCAGCAAAATTTGTGTGAGTTCATCTGTAAAACAAATGGCTTCTCCTAACTGGTCTGTTAGAGGTGACTCAATCTTATCCCTCTCTTCTATACTTCTGTGCCATTTCTGAAATCCTGCCTTAAATCACTG